CCAACTGCTAGTCCCAGGTACAGGGGTTTCTTTTATTTGATTTTGAGGGTGAGAGACTTTGTTTGGGATTTAGTGAAAAGTTCTTGGTCTGGCCCCAAAAATGTGTGACACGTAGAAGCCCGGGCTTGTAGGTTATACGTGGGTTTACAGTTTTTAAGGTGGTGACTGGAAAAGGAAGGTTGCTGAGATCAGAAAGGAATGTACTTTAATGGGGATAAGGAGGCTTAGTATACGTCACAAATACGTCACAAAGATACTCCAATACTGTCCCAGGGGCAGGATGTAGGAAGAATCTTGTTGGGCCAAAATGGTCTGGCAACATCTGCGGGCATGACTCCCCTCTGGAAAGGACTTTGGAAAAATAGGAAAAAGTGTGAGAATTCCGTCCACAAGGAGAAATGAGAGATGATTTCATCCGTGACCAGTACTCGCCCTCATAGTGCTCTCATGTCACGCCTGAATTTGACTTTCAAAATGTATCAGCTGATCTTCCTACAGATCATCCATCCCTATGAAGCAGGTCCAGAGAAATAACAGCATTTCTCGAGGGCTTACTGCGTGCCAGGTTCTGGGGCGAGGATTTTACATATTTTCCCTCACTATTATCCCTGTGTTCAGAAAAGAAAACTGAGCTCAGGACACTTACCTCCATTGCAGATGTATAGAAAATTCACAATCATGGAGATGGCACCGACCCAGGAAAACCACGCTGACATATGTGTGTGCAAGCCCCAGTTCCAAAGCTTCTGCTCTTAATCTCAGTGCATTTCTTTTCTTTTCTTTCTTTCTTTTTTTAAAAATTTATCCATCATTTATTTTTTTAATTTGACCAGAGAGGGAGACATACACAGAGAAAGAGAGAGAGAGAGAACAAGCCACCAGGTCCGGGACTCGCACTGTGGTTGGTCATGTGGGAGTGTCCAGTGCCTTAATCACCACACCACTCGCTGGTCCCCTCTTTTTATTATTTTTTTTAAATCTGCTAGACGGCATATGCGTTTTACAGAGAGAGAGGACAAGTGGAAGGGGGGATGGCCATGCTGCAATCCTTTCTCCATTTTCTTGTGATTTGGGGCATGTACACACACGTGCCCAATGTGTTTTCGAACCAGATCTGGCACTCAAACTGCACAGTTGGTACCCAGCTGCCTTAACTAACACACCACCAGTTGGTACTCAAGGCATTTCTGTCTTTTTTTTTTTTAATTATTTATTAAATTTTATTTATTTATCATTATTCTTCAATTTGACCAGAGAGAGACAGAGAGAGAAGGAGAGTGAGAAAGCAAGCCGCCAGGTCCAGGATTCGAACCAGGTTCAGCCATGTGGAAGTCTAGCACCTTAACCACCACACCACTTGCCAGCCCCCAACAATTCATTTCTAGGGAAGCAACATTAATATCTATTCTATCCATTACAACTGCTTTGTACTCAAATTCTATTTTCCATCATGAGAATTTTTCATTTTCTGACAAAAAGTATCTGTTAAATAAATATAACTTTATAATTATGGTCATCTATCACTAGGAGCAAACTTGAGAGATGAATATTTAAATGAATGAATTTTTAAAACTCTCCCATTTCCAAAAGGAAGAAAAAAGCAATGTGTTTTACATATTTTCATCTTGAATTTGAGGAATTCTTTGTTTATGGAATATTCAGACGGACACATTATGTTTCGAATAGTGGAACCAGGGCCAGCAGGTGGTGTGGTGGTTAAGGTGCTGAATCTCACATGGCTGACTCTCTGGCTCAAGTCCCAGACTTGGTGGCTTGAAAAACATGCCAGACACATGTGTATGTGTGCCCAACATCCTGAGAGGAGAATGGCAAAGAAGGATTGCAGTATGGTCATTCCCCTTGGGGGGTAATTTTTCACTTCCCCACTCTCTGTCTAGCAAGGGTATGTGCCCTATGGCAAAAATCTAAAAAAAAAAAAAAAAAAAGCTACAGAGTGAAACCAGGTAAAATTGCAGGGAAGTTTGTGCTATCTCGAGGTCCCCATATAAAAAAAAAAAAAAGAAAAAAAGGAAAAAAAAAAAAAAGGCCACATGTTGTAACTCTACAACAGCATATTGAAATTTTTTGTTTTTGTTTTTTTTTGTTTTGGAGAGGTTTTTGCTATAGGGCATGTGCGCTTGCCAGAAAGACAGAGAGAGACAAAGAGATAGAAAGCGAGAAATCACCCCCCAGGGGGGACAGCCACACCGCAATCCCTCTCCTCCATTCTCCTCTCAGGATCTTGGGCACACATGCACACGCGCCTGGCATGAATTTAAGCCACCAGGTCCGGGACTTGAACCGCGCTCAGCTACATGGGAGTTCAGTGATATAGCCATTACGCTAACTGCTGGTCCCAGCATATTGAAATTTTATATTCATGCACCTGTAGTCACCATTGTCCTATGTACTCGTTTTCTACCGCTGCATGAAAAATTTAAACACAGCCGCTTATAACTACATCCATTTATTAGTTCACGGTTCTGAGTTAGAAGTCCCAGCATAGACCCTTGTCTGCTCAGGGTCCCCCAGTCTGAAATCATGGGGTCATCCACGCTCAGTTCTTTTCTGGAGGCATTGAAGAAGAATCTGCTTTCCAGCTGAGCTTGCTGGCAGAATTCAGTTCCTTGCATTGTAAGACCGAAGTCTCCATTTCCTTGCTGGGTACTGGCTGAGATTGCCCTCAGCTCCAAAATGCCTTTCCTGGGCCTTCCCTGTGGCCTCTTCATCTCCAAAGCCATCAGTGAAAAACTCCCAGGGGTGAATCTGCCTTGTGCTTTGACTTTCTCTCCATGAAGAGCCTGGTCATTTCGGGGGTAAAGTTTTCTCTTATTTATTTTATGGTGAAAAGAGAGAGAGACAGGGACCCACAACAGAGTCTTGTCATACCACAAGGGATCCCCAGCCCTCCAGCCTCCAAGATCGTAGGGCAATGGGCATGTCTTACGTCAACCAGAGTTCTGAACTCGTCAGTCCTGTGGCTCCAACATGGTGGATCAACATACCAGGGCTTGTGCCATCTTGGCTGGGTCAGAGCCCAGTCCCTTTTAAGGACTCCCCTGATTAAGTCAGGCCTTACCAAGGAAAGCCTCCCTATATTTAGATGAGTTGATCTGGGACCTTATCTCAGCAGCGCCTAGGTTGGTGTTTGTTAAATAACTGGGAGAATATATACACTGGGCGGTGGTGGTGGTGTGGGGGAGTGCAGGGATCTTAGGGCCTGTCTTAGAATCCTCCCTTCTCTACAGTCTATATATACATTTCTTGGTGGCAAAAGCTAGGTCTTGGGCCATCCTGTGGCCTAGTGATTAAGGAAGCTGGATCCCACATGGCCAACCACCCAGTTTGAATCCAGCCCTGGTGACTTAGAAGCGTGTGCTAGGGGTTGTGTACCTCCATGCCCCAAATCCTGACAGAACGGAGAAATGAAGGAGAAGGAATTGTGCCCTGATCACTCCCCATTGGAGGGTGTTTTCTCTCTCTTACTCTTGCTCTGGCAAGTTCACACACTATGGCAAAACAAAACAAAACAAAACAAAACGTTTAACTGGGCCTTATGCATCCTTGACATCTTTGGTACCCAGCAGATGCTCCATACATTTTCACTGGACCAAATAATTTTAAAGGAAAATGGGAAAGTACAAATCAGGAAATAGTGACACAAGACCATTTAACCTCTAAGGACAACACCCAGGAGAACAGAGATCAGAGAAGACTCAATGTCTGGGATATTTTTGAGTGGAGCACCATCCTAACCTTTTCCTCCACCAAAGGATTGAGCAGATAGTTCTACTTTCACCATGGGGAATGCAGCTTTGCTTTATTAAAGGGAATCATGGAAAAAGAATTCCTAAACCAGAAATGTGCAAAGCAGACAACTTTCTGGAATCACACCTATCCCATTGAGTAAAGGTATGTGTTCACTGAGTTTGTCGAGTTCTGAGCATCCCGAGGCTACTCTGTTAGCTTTTTGAGGGCGGAACCACATATTACTCATTTATATTCCCAGGGCCAGCACGGAGCCTGATTCAGAAGACACACTTTAACTGAGAGACTGAATGTTTGTGGAATGAATGCTCTTCCACGTGTCTCTGCCAGCAGTCATTAAAGCCCTGTGGGGGAGGACTCTGTCTCACGCACATTCTGCAATCCAGTAATGCCCGTTGTCAGCCAGCGAGCATTCAACAGGTGCAGTCGCCCAGCCGTGTACGTTTGTTTTAAAATGTACTTTCTCCTCTTTGAAGTTAGCAGCTGACCATTTTAGATTATGCAGTAAGAATTCAAGCTGAGTAATATTAAAGCTAATGGGGCTTAATTCTAAGTAATACGCGACTTTACGTAACGCAAAAACAAAGAAGCGTCCTTTCCGAATGGAAATTGATACCGTGTCTGGTAACTGCATTAAGGGGGAGACATTCCGCTACATCAATGGGAGGTCAACTTTGGTTTTTGCAAAGAGCAAGCTTTGGGTTTTTCTTGGCCTCTCCACTATTCGCTTTATACAAGGTCCGAGTTATCTGCAGCTCTGTGGGGCGCCCCTTGCATCCAAATCGCACTCAGGAAAACGCTTTCTGGTCTTTCTACCCCCTAGAGAAACGCTACCAGGAGCCAGGAGGCAGCTCTGCTCCAACCCACGAAGCCGCGGACCCGGGGCCCGCGCTGTGACGTCACCGGGCTCGCAGTCTCCGGCTCGGGTGATTGGCTAGGGTCCATGACGTCACAGCCCGGGGCGTCCCTGCGCTCGCGAGGGCCCCGGGATGCTCCGGGTTCATTTCAAATAAAGCGGGGGGGCTGGAGAGGAGG